TTCCTGAAATATACAAATAATAACATACCAAAATCCCGAAAAAATCTAATCAGGGGAACATTGTTCATTATAAAGATATTTAATGGGTTAAAATCAAACGTTTTATTGCACAACTGCTCTGCTGGAAGCGTATAAATGCATGTCGTTGCCAAGTTGTTGCTAACGAAAAAATGTGAATTATATAGGGTAATACGCCCGCGCGCGATCCAAAAGCGGGGAACACATAGGTTTGTCGCGTCAAAGGGATCTGTTGCCGAGTGATCTCCTTCTCAATAATACCTCCATGCTTTAACTAACTAACTAAAATACCTTTTCATACTTTAAATGAATAATAAGGATATATACGCATCGTCGATGCCCACATAATGCGGGCGAGGATTACACGTCGAACAATATACACAGAAAAGCATGGAATTGAACAAATTGTATAGAAATAAGGTTGAATCCATCCTGGTAAATATCACAGATATTTTGTCATTGAACACAAAATGGCATTGACATTGTCTATTCAGCCCTTATTAAAACAATTCCTGGAGGCGACAGCTGAACTGACATGGTAGGACCATATGACACAACAGCACCTTTTCACCCTGGACCTCATGACATGTTGTTCTGCAGACCTACTCTGTACGTAGGCCTCGATAAAATCATAACACCGTGGTAGAATAAGAGCACAATATGACATGTTTCTTACACATTTACAACATGCAGTAATAATAATAATCATTATCGCTGTACCACCGAAAAGTCTGATGACAATTCCGCTTCGGCCGCTTTACAATTCTTCGATGAGCCCTTTCCAAATATGTCTTTTTTGTTCCATTGATTTTGCTTCTTCATATCATTTTTAGTTTTTAGTTGAACTGGATATTGAGTATTGGTTAACCTGATCTTACTTAGATCGTTATGGAGAGTTGTGATTATTGTAGTCGACGTCCCCTGAATTTTCTGTATTGGTCTCGGTGAAGTAGAAGCATGATTGCAGGTTTGTAGGATTGTTTGTGTTTGTCTCAGAATGTGGCCAAGTAACCACCATCTCAATTCTAACATTTTTGGTGGCAAGGTTCTCGTCGTACCTCTATCAAAGGTGTTTTATTTGATATTCTATGGGGTATTTCAGTCCAATAATCCTTCAAAGTTGCTTACGATGAAAAGTGTTTAGCTTTAGTTCATCGTCTTTCGTTAAGGCCCATGTATTTCTATTAGGCCTATATAAAAGCACCGGTTTCACTAGTGAGTTGTACAACCTCAGTATTGATGTTCCAGAGTGCTGTCTTTTTGTTCATCGCATTCATAGCAAGCTGTCACGTGCAGTAATGTATCAATTTAATAGGCCCTTTCGTAGCAGTAATGTCGTGACATGCAAAATCACACAACCAAAATATAAGACATACTGCAACTAATCTTCAATAATTAATGGCCAGGCATTTTCTACCGCACCCCTTCCTTATTGTAAGGCGAGTAATCCCGAAAATAGAAAAGCAATGAATGTTTCTATTCATTAAATTATAACAATGAACTATGTTTTACAAACCGATATCGAGAAGGCGTTTCTTTCACTAATATTTATGAAATTATGAAATTCAGATGAGGTCAACATATGCCCTACGCTGTAAGATTTACTTGTGACATGACCTGACCTTCAAAATATGCGCAAGAGAAATGCCTTAATTAGTGCTAGGTACAGAAGTTTGCATTTATTTAATGGAAAATAATGGCTGAAAATATTTAAATCTAAATAATGGAAAACTGTTGGCAAAAGCTTTAGTAATACACTCACACTTTAATTTTATTTACAAAATAATCCAATCAAATACCGTAGCTTCAATGTTTAAGATCATTATTGCTAACCTAATTCCCATCGATGGTCTAGTAAATAGGATGAAAGAAATGAAATGCAAAAAGTCCAAATTTAAACTATTCAATAATGCTACACATAGGCCTACTAACTGTTTGTTAATGGATAATAGTGTACCCGGTAGCCCAATGATGAACAAAGAGCAGATGAACTCCTCCAACCAACCATGCTTAAGCCGGTTTTCCACTAGACGAATGTATTCGCACGAATTGAATGCGTCGGTTCCTGAGCTCTGATTGGTTGAGCACATTTTTCGCTTCGCAAAAAGTAGAAACAGTTCGAACTACCAATTTTGCTGAAGCGAAAACTCCGATAGAAATGTGAATGCGCATGAACGACACTTTCGATTCGCACGAATAAATTCGCCTATTGGAAAACAGGCTTTAGTTTGTTTATGTGAACGAAGAGGTATCCATGATCCCTGCACTAGTCTGTTTTTGTGGTTTTCTTCTGTTGGTTAATTTTTAATCTGTTTTTTTGTTTTTATCTGTTTTTCTAATCTGCTGCATTTTTTTTTGTCTGCTTAATTTTTTTTACGTTCACCTTCTCTTTACATGGACATGGCGCTTAGAGACCTTATAAATCGACCTATTAGGCCTATCTCTCCGGTATCCCCCCAGTTGGTCGAAATCCAGTTTGTCGAAACCCGGTTTGCCGAATTTAACTCACTTTGCCGAATTTAACCAACTTTGCCGAAAACCCAGTTTGCCGAATCCAGTTCACCGAAAACATGACATCTTAGTTGACCGAAAACCAAGTTTACGCAATTTGAATTTTATCTACACCGTCGTACAAAAGAAAAACACACTACTATTTTGAAATAAAATGTAATAAATAGCAATTATGTAGGCGAAACCGAATGTAAACTCAGACTTAACCACAACAAATTAGTTAAGACCATTAAAAGGTCTTCCTGTTGCTCACCACTTTAATTTACCGAGCCATAGCATCAGTGATTTAGGCTTTATAATCTTAGGCACCAATTTCAAATCCACTAAGGCTAGAGGACTGGAAGGATACCCTCGGGACATCTTCTAGCCTTAGTAGATCTGAAATTGGTGCCTAAGATTAACTATACCAACAGCATGCATGTTATTAAACTGTTGTTTTTATGTCTTCTTTAAAAAGAGCTATTATGGCGGTTGTATTGTCCTGGCAGATGTTAAGTGGGACCATCCGTCAATCAAACAATTTTGCCACGATAGAGGTCTGGATCACTGCTTCGCAACTACAGACAAGCCTGGAAGCTGCTCATATCTCATTAAGTATCAAGGCACAGCTTGTTTTGTCAGTGTTGTCTTTATTGTGTTTTTCCTCGTACAGCTTTATAAAAAGAAGGAGTACAATTGGTGAGTCATATTTATTAAAACTTACAGCTCAGTTTATAATTATTAAACGGTGCTTTACAATAGAACTGGATTTACATACACACACACACACACCTGTCTCTTATACACATCTAGATGTGTATAAGAGACAGACAACACCCTGCAACCCCTTCTCCACTTTAAAAAGTGTCCATAGCTCCTTTGATCTAAGCCGCCAGATATTCTCCGCAGATCATTCTTATTGTTGGCATCCGTAAATTATGTAATGAACTGCGAGAACCAGATTCTGTACCTGATGAAAGGTATGTTCAAGTTGATTTAAATGCATAGAAATAGATAGTACTGTACTTCCTTTAATATATGTTTGTATATTCTGGTGTATACAATTACGTCACACAGCTTTTAAAACTTTACAGTATGTGTTTAATCTTGTAGTCCCTGCGAAGCATTATTTATTTGTAAATGTGATATTAATTGTCATATATACAGATGCTTCCTTTATTATATTTTTTTTTTGTGAATTTTGATGTCCTATGACGTGTTGTTTAATTACATCAGAGAACTTGAAAACTGTGTGTTTAATCTTGTAGCCCATGCGAAGAATTCACAATTGCGACAGGCAACTCAGATGGTGATGGTATAAACTTTAATAACCGTCTCAAACGTGCCGAGGTAAGTTTGCAATCATGTGTTACTACTAAAGCATGTTCATTACACAATACCAATTGACAAACCGATTCCAAGACAGAATAAAGGAAACTGTTATAAAGTAGACCTAACACTTCAGCTATCAGGTCACTGTCTAGGGAGGACATGTTTTTACAGGCTTTCACCTTTTTAGAAAAAAAAAAACCGATACGCAATAACGTATAACAGCTTGGCATAACAGAAAGCAAGGAACAAAAATATTATTTCGAAGGTCATTTCATTAAGTACACACCCAGTGGTTACTTCAGAAGCTTAAGTTGAATATTTTAAAATTACTACAGCATTGTATGTTTATTGAACAATTTTTAAGTTATTTTTTATTACTCTATTCGACACTGAGGATTCAATACACTATTACAATTTACTAATTATGTCCCGGTGAGTATGTAATATAGTTAGATAGTTTTTGGATGGAATTCATATTACTATTATCCAGAAATTTATATATTCATATGACTTAGCTCATTATTTTGTGGAGCTGTTTCTCTGTCGGTGTGCTAATCGTTAACTCACATCAAGTACCAGCATATTATGTTCGACATACTTTGTTTTGTAAGCTGAAATCATAAAGGACAAATACATTACTGTATGTTATGTTGTTGCGCAATCACTGGCGTAATGAAGGGACCGCATGTCTATAGCCTAAGGTTACTAAATTCTGGGGCCCGCATTGAGCACATGTGGGGTGTTTGGAGGGCGAATTGCAAGATCACTTTCGAGAGGTTTTGAGCAACGCCCGATGCCAACTTGCGCTGTCGTCGGGGAATAGCCCTCCAATTCATCCTCACCACGTAGTCCCTTCGGACCATCATCGGCCAAATCATGAGGAACCCCTGCGAACAGGAAGTTTTCTTTACGCTATGGATTTTCTGTACCACTTTAATTATGTAGTCTGTAGACGCTTACCTATTATTTCCTGGGTTCAAAGCAAATGCAAAGTTTTGGGGACCTTGCGCTAATGCGGAATTGATAGGTGTCTTAATTTTTTTCTTCTTCTGCTTCCTCACAGGCCTGATGCGCCGGTGTCGTTTGTGCTTGTATTTTTGTATCACCACATATGTAATAGCAGTGTCGATGATTAATTTGAATAAATAATTAGTAAGAGTTTGCAGGCCCATAGCGTAACCGACTTAATTTGTTGGAGGTTCGTTTCAGTGGAAGTTAACCCTTTCCATAGAAACCATTATACAATAACATAATATTGTTGGCTGGGAAAGCTCAATAAATGCCGACTTGAAATACTTCTGGCTTGTATGATATCCGATACTCTGGAGAACAATGTAAATATATCTACGAATATCAATTCTTAGTTTTTGAATGCGGACCTTCTCCAGTTTTTGGACGGTTCGTCGCAACCGCCTTAACCCACCTACGCTACGGGTCTGATTTGTTACGTGTAACTTTGATAATAATGTACACATTTTCTATAATTTTCAGACCGCTTCATGGATTTCGTGTTGTTCCTGGTTGTTTCTATTTATCATCCAAGTAATCAAGACAGTAATAAAATCACGATCTGGAAACAGACCAACAAATAGACAGCAACGTGTGCCAGAGGGGCAGAATGTCGAAATAATTAGTTAAAATTGAGGCGTACTGTACGTTAAAAAGCTAATGCCACATTTTTTTTGGTCAAATAATTTGAACATTTAGGCAGTTGGATATTTA